ACTTCCTCAACGAGGTCCTCACTACTTACCAGAATCACTGTCAATAATTGCTGTCTTTATTACCTTCCCCAAGTCTCTAAAATGTCTCACTATCTGCCCCCCTTCTTAAAAAAAACCTTCCTTTGCTTCTGAGATTTAAAACTGAGATTCTTTTTAAAGTCCCCAGTACTGGAAATTAACACTGTGTTATTTGAACTAGTTTTAAATGTAGTTTAACACAACTTAAACATGGTTTGCCTGGACAGTGTTGTTTAGAACAGTGCTCTAACCTGTTTACCTAGGCTGCCCATTGCCTCCCTCCTCGCAGCATAGATGGGACCCTGTAGTGTCCTAACTTCTCTTTTTCTAAAAAGCACTTGAAAAAGTAGCATTTTCTCATCTCTCCAGTTTTGCACTACAGTATGCTTGTCCATTTTCAGTCTGGGTTCAGTGCAGGTGATAGCATGGGAATCTCTCAATTGTATATAGTTAAATACTTCTCTCTTTCTGCTGTCTCTGGGACTCTTTTCATTCTCTGTGACCTCACTGCTTCCTTAGACACTGTGGGCTACTCTATTCTCCTGGACTACACCCATTGTTATGCAGGTGTGTCGAGATCCCACCTTTATACCTGTCAAACTATTATTTCTAGAGTGCTGCAGTGACAGCTTTTCTGTGCACAAGCCCCTGTTCTATGCAGTGCATAGCACATTGCTGACTCTTCTACCCTTTTCAATTTACCTCCTCCCACTGAGTCATCTTATTTCTACCGTTAACTGTAGCTGCTACTTTCACACTGGTAACACTCAGTTGTTCATATCTGTCAAAGCCTTTAACAATTTCCATCTGTTCACCCTCTTTGCTTATCTTCACAGGAAATTTGTGGCTGCATCTCAATATTGTTGATCCAACCTCTGTACATAATTTTAGTGTAATGCCTAACCTTGAACCTTCTTTCTGCAAACTTTTATGTCTGCATATCTGCCTATTATCACCTCTGTGACATTAGCCATGTATGCCTATATCTCAGTTCCACTTCTCTTGAAATCTTCATTCATGCTTTCATGTCCTCACCTTGATTTCTCTAACACCTTCCTCAGTGGCTTCGCCAAGACTCAGCACTTGATTCCCTCATATACAGGTGCAGTTGGCCACCTTCCCACAAGTACAAAGAAATATGATCCTATCAGTTGCATAAACAGTCCATCATTCATTTCAGGACCCAATTCAAGATTGTACTCCCTTTTCTTTTAAAATCCCCCAATCATTTGCTCCAGCTAGTTTTTCCTATAGGCTATAAAAGGACCAATGTGAATCCTTTGTCTCTTCATACTGACTATTCTCTATGCATCTAGCACTGGCATTCTCTCTTTCTTTTCACACACTCCATCTTCTGAACACTCTTCATGTGAGATCTTTCCTCTCTGCAACTCCTGTCAGCTGGAAAATCCTTCCTATATATCTCAGCTTTACCGTCTGCCCATCTGCAAACATATCTTTTCCCTTGTTTAAGCACCTCAATTTCTTTCCCCTTCTGCTATTAGTTTTGTTAATTTTTTAACTGAATTAGCTTTTTGTAATATGTTTTGGAAAGTTGCTCTACACAGCAGTGTTATACAGTATTTATTTGTACTATTTTCTAATTTCCAAAAACAAAAGCATTGCATATCAGTAATTAAGAAATTGAAAGGTTTCCCTTAAATAATTAATTTGCTATTTAAAGACAGTTGCTACCATTTTCACTACAACTAAATAGGCATTTATATAAATGGTGGAAAGGAAAGCA